TACCAAGTGCATACCGAAAGATGGTATAATGGTCAGTTTATTCAACAGTGTTCGTGCTTAATCTTCGTTTACCAAGATGAAGACGATGTCGTCCGCATTGTCCAGACGACAGGGTTCTCATCGGCAATGAGTTAAAAACCTCCAATGTTTGTCTCAGTACTTTGACCACGAAGGTGGACAGAAAAACGGAGAAAATTCTTGGTGGACACCACTTACTGTGCGCCCGGAATTATGTGAATATAAGGACCAGATTATGTCCATCAACTTTTGGAAATATCCCTGTTGAAAGTGTAGCGAGTACTGACCAATCTAAAGAATCGAACACACCTTGAGGTTAGGATACACCAAGGTTGTGGGTCAGCTAGACATATGGTTAAAACCCTACATCCTCCCAAGGCCTTGTGAGCCAGGTTTTGAGACAAACATTCAAGGTTGGGTACCTCAACTAAACCTCCTTCTTCTTGGGCAACCGCGGAATAGAACTCGTTGCTCACTGGTCCTCCTACACAGCCCCCACACCGTGCGATTGTCTGCCTCAATTAACATCAATGCACCTGGCCCGGTTTGACTGCATCTCGCACCACTCAAAGGTGGTGAGGCCCTAAAGAACAGTCCAACAACCACAATGCAGAAGATTTGGAACGAAAAGAAAGTACCAGTCAAAGGAGCTTCTCTATCGTCATGCCGCTTTCCACGAAGGGTACAAGAACGTCATACGAAGAGTCAGATGAGGCAGCCGACATTGCAGCAATATAAGTTCCGGGGGACTAAGTGGAGATGGGACTAATACTCAAACAGAGAAGGACAGGGCAGTTTTGCCAACCTCCGACCCTTAAGGCGTCGACGTGACGTCAGGTTGTCTGTCAACAGCAGAGTTTACGCTGCGGGAATGTGATCCATACTGCTTTATGGATCAGAAACATGGCCTCTGCACGCAAAGGACATACGAAAGCTGTCAGTGCTTGACCATCGGCGTCTCCGAAGCATTGGTAGGGTCTAGTGGGAACGTCGGATTAGCAATGCTGAGGGAAGCCAGGTCATTTAATGCACTTTCCTACGATATATGAATTACTCACGCTTCATAGGTTACGCTGCTTAGATGTACTCCGCATTCCACGTGGCCGTCTGCCTCGCACAGCTCTATACCGATTGGGAGCGCCAAGAGGTGTACCGTGTATGACTTCGCAACGGAGTATGTGAACACTAACCAGCACACTGAGTCGGGTGGACAACTGCCGCCTCTCCGGATGATTAAGGATACTGGCAAAAATGCCAGTCATTGGCGCTGTGCATCAAAGCTATTGCCTTCAATGCGTAGCTACCCAGTTCTCGAACTAACTGAATACGTCATCACCCCAAATAGTTGGCTGTATCCTCAAGCTTTCTCACTTTCCGATGATCGGAAATATAGCACCCGAAACCAATGTATCCACGGTACATGGTTCATAGCTGGTAAACTGAAATTAGTGACGCACACAGAATCTCACAGTCATAATCAGCACGCATAGGAAGGGATGACAAGTAAAATTGCCAGGAATGGCAAGGTCTGACGGCTCGCTAATCACAGACGGTTAATAGTTCAATTCAATTGTTTTCAGCTTTCAAATCGTATACCGATGGTCAACGGTTCCAGCTATTACCGTTTCGTCCACTGAGTATTAGAATGAAAAATGAGCCCCACGTTGGGGGGCGGCGGCTCAAAGAGCTCACTGATGTCAAATGATTGATTCTCTGGTATGGCAGTGGGCTACAGCCGCATAGTGAAGACGAGTTTTGCTACGGTTGCATCACAAAGCCATAGCTGTCAGGGTCACTGGTTTGCTTCATCCCGTGGCCCCAAACCGGGAGATAGCAGTCAGCCAACCCAGTTGACTGGCAACGGCTTCCACGCCTTCCTGCCAAGTAATGAACTGGCCACCTCTATGCCGTCTGCATCTGGCACAAGGCTGAGCGGGGAGGGTTCTACAAGGCAAGCGGCCCTCTGGCAAACAAAGTGCATGCTATACATAGGGTAACCGGTGGAGTGAGACCAGCTGATCTGTCGGAAAATAAACTATTCAATAAACCACTAGGCGTACAGCAGCACTACTGAATTGATGTTCTCACCAAACCTTCGCACAGAGCCATCGAAATCCACATGTAGGCAGCGGCCACACACCTGATCCATGAAGTAGGTCACATCGAACCGCGGCATGATACACCTTACCCTTGACAGTCATGGTGACACAAAATCAGCGCCATAATTGTCGGACTTCGAAAAACGCTGCCCTGACCTTCCCGATTGAAGAAGTGACTTCGTTTTCTGCCGGTCTTCCCGGAAGTATACAGCTGTCCAGATGGAATAGCTTATTTAACAGACCGATTCATTCAACTGCAAGTATGAGACCTTGGCTTGATTCCACTTAATCTTGCAGCAGCATTCACATTTTACAGATTCGAAGCATACACCTAATTATGCAGCACAATTATTACGATTATTTGAAACTTTCGAGTTCCAAAGGGTTTGATCCGAGAAAATCAATATTGCCGGAGTACTCAAAACCCGTGAGCAAACGCCCCGGGAGTATTTGGATCCTCGATTTTTTAGACAAGTAAAGACCCAAGAGGCGCATCGATTGTGGGGTTAAAGAGGAAGTACAACAGGTGATTCCCCTTCCTAACACACCTAGATGTAGTGATGTTGGAGTGATCTTGCGAGCACGTATGCATTGACGGTAGGTGACATATGCGGCTTTCATGAGTCAAGAGGGGTAAGAGTCATGAGTTTTGAGGTAGAGTCAAGGGGGCGAGAAGGCTCAGTGGTTAGAGCACGAATTTACTGACCGAAAGATCTGTGGTCCGAACCCGACCTCTGCATGCATTCGGGTGGCATGGCAGCTGGGTACCAAAAGGGTGTTATAGCTGAACGATTCATGAGTAAAGATCTTGAAAGGGAAGCCCTTCAATGCCAGACGCTGCCAGTTTTTTTTATGGTAAACGGAGTCGAAAATGGACCTGGGATCAAGGATGATCATTTTTGTCCATCGTAAGGAGAGATGCAGTCCCAAAACTTTACGCACAATGAAGAGTTGACTGATGAGCGCTTCATTAAGGAGGAACTCATCTTGATGCTCGCGAATCCTACTATCCTAATGATGGGTCAACTTTCGTAGGATAATACCGGACAGCACCTTGAAAGCTGTAGCAATAAACCTATGTCTTGGTAGTTCTCGCGCGGTGCCTTTTTTGAATGCAGGAATCACCACCGAAGCGCCTCATTCTGTCACTATATTTACGCATTCCAGATAGTTTGAAGTAAAGTCGTTAGAATAGCCACGAGATATTCAAACTTCTTTGAACAGTGCAGGATTAAAAGCATCTGGACTAAGCGCAACGACGCGCTGAAGCGATGACACTGTTAGTTGGTCAGGTGGTCGTTGATCTGTTCACTGGGCTTGGCAACTGGCTTGCGAGATTTTCGTCACAAAATGAGGGGACATATCATCGACACGTCAACCCACTTGGTGATTTACAAGCTTATAGCCAAACTCGGCGAACAGATCACCAGCAACCTGATCAACCAAACACAAAAGCATCCGAGCTGGAAATACCACGTACATTTCTAGCAATGAGACCACCTGGTGCTGACGTCCCACTCATCATCATTCACAGTAATAGGAGGACCCTGGCGACTCATTGACGTACAACCATATCAATTTACTGAGACAGAGTCCTGCAGTAGAGGAAGAAATGGATTAGAGAAGAGGACCTTGGGCTGGTCTGACACAAATATCCGTAGAAGCAACATCTCCAAAACTCTATCAGACAATCTGGATGGAAACTGATTGCACGGACGCTACTGACACAATTATTCACCATATCATTTACCTTTTGTTCGTTCGGTGCCTGGCTGCCATGTCACCAGAAGGAAGCAAGGGGGCTGAGATACTGCCAGGTTGCCCAAGCTTAGACAGGGGAAGTCAAGAGACAGGGATCGGGTTCGAACAACTGACCTTCCGGTCAGTAGATTCGCACTCTAACTACTTGAGCCATCTCGTCCCCGTCCATAAGTTAGCGCCATAACGACTCAGCTATCTCGAGCTACCTGGAGAGTTTGTCCATTGGGGTGTGCGAGCGACCACAAGCAGACAGCATCAAAGGCTGTGAGGATGGCTTCTTTTTGCAATCTCCATCATAAGCACCATTGTTTCCGCCGAGTTCCGGAAGCTTCTCAGTCAAGCCAACTCGGTAATGTTGGGCTACCAAAACGCTTTTAATTGGTGAACTGAATGACCATGCATCAACCGCCCTGTCCCAAAGAGGAAGCTAATAGACACGCGCACCTGCACAATACCATGATCGGAGTTATGTGTTTGTCTTCTCTCACGTGATCAAGCTGGGTCAACGGCTGGTTTGTAGTTGGTGGCCTCTAAGTCACCAGAATGAACGCACGTGCCGAAGTTTTGTACTTGCTTGAAGTAAATTACTTTGAGCACATAAATGAAGGGACCACTCAATATCATCAATGCGGTGAGCATCAATCCCGAATCAACTGTCAAGATGGGCTCCCTCATGATATAGTCGACCGAAATGTGCATTCGTATAACAGAATCACGAGATTTGTATTTCCTGCTAACTGAAGCAGCCGTGACAAATCTCAATAGAAACTGTCATTCTCAGACTCGGATATGTCGTCCACCAGAGCATGTGCTGACGCAACAAACCGAGCTGAGGTGCATTAATCTTGATGGAACCACTTAACCTAACTGGGCAAAGGCGACCACTAAATGGGTTCCAGTCAGTAAAGAATATTCAGCTAAGCAGAACTTGCACACCGTGGATAACACGAGCTTTTGCAATGAGACCACTACACACTCGAGAAATTACGAAGAATCTGGATTCGTCCCGAACGGTTTGGGACCATGAGGGTTCCAAATAGGTGGCTGAAATCTAGATAATTCAGGACTTGGATGATAGAGTAGGAAACTAAACGACATGGAGAACAAAGAAGTAAAACGTACCGATCGCTCTCGTCCGCCGCTTTGCTGGCTTCTTCTAATTTCTGTGTAGCCTCGGAAAGTCGGGTTTCGGTAGATTCAAGCTCATCCTCCAGCTGGCGGATTCGTTTTTGTAGAGCAGCAACCTCAGCCTCTGCCTAAAAGCAGAATGGGTTTAATAAATAAACTCGGCGACAAAAAATATCAAGCAGGATCATCAGTATAGTGACAAGCATACATACTTTAGAGTGCCTTTCTGTTTCGTCTTCCAGCTGGCGGTTCCTGGCCGCAAGGTCCTTTTTCAAGCTGTCGACCAAGATTTTCATATTAACCATTTTCGTCTTCACCTCTGACACAACAGAATCCGCCATTATATGCCTAAAACTATCACCTCAACGGAAAATGTACCACAAACTTTAGACAGCAGAATGATCAAGGAGGAGGCCTACAGGATGCGCGTCCGGACAAAAAAAGCTTAGGTCGTCAAATGAAACTCAAGGTCAACTAACGATTAACGGTTTGACGCGATCCGTTAGCTTCCGCTGGATCCAGTGAGGCAGATAGCTTTCTGATAGCTTATGCTGGTTCCGAATATATGTGATTGTGTCAGAAAGCCCATAAAATTGATGGATTCAGCACAACGGCCGGAGTAGTTTGCCTGGTCATTCTCGTCAGTCCCGGATCCCCATATCTAGGTGGTTGCGTTGTGGTAATTTGGACCGCAACAAACTCCTATATTAAAAATTCAGGCGACCACGCTAGTGTCACGAATGGGTTCTCCTGGCTCCATAGCTCAAAAGTAAATAGAGGATAGCGTACAACCGCACTCTTTAGCCCAGCTCTCGAAGGCCAAGACAGAGTCTGGGTGCTTCAGCGGGGGCTGAAGTGGATAACGCGGACACAGCAGTGGGAAATGAGAAACCAAATAGAAGATTCAGCAGAAAAAATCTCGGCATCGCAGGTACAGATAGGACGTTACAAAAGTAAATAGAGGATAGCGTACAACCGCACTCTTTAGCCCAGCTCTCGAAGGCCAAGACAGAGTCTGGGTGCTTCAGCGGGGGCTGAAGTGGATAACGCGGACACAGCAGTGGGAAATGAGAAACCAAATAGAAGATTCAGCAGAAAAAATCTTGGCATCGCAGGTACAGATAGGACGTTACCACTGGCCAATAACTCTGGAATGAAGAATTCACTCGGCCAGTATTGGATGCTCTCATACCCAGTGTAGGGTATCAGCATCTGGGGCCAGGCTTGGCAAATGAAGGTTCTCTGTCGTCGTTTTTTTATTACAAACGTCTCTGACAGAAACCCCGACCCTTTTATCAACAATTAGTGTTTGATTTCGGTGATCTTCGCTCTTCATCGTCATTCTTAATTTGGCAGTTCTTGTAGCCTGGTACATCAGTGTCCTTTAGTCCACATTGCGGTCGTCGGAACCAAGGGTTGATGGATGATATTTTTGCACATGGCGTTGACAAAATGGGGATATTGAGAGTGTACTGAATAATTCTGAACGCATGATTGGGCGAGACTCATAGCTGATGACATCCAATCGCAAACCGGTATACTTTACTCAAAAATAACACGGGCCATTTTTGCAGTAAGCAAGTCGTCCCAAAGTAGATGTGCTCGGAAAACCAAATAATGTTTGACCGACAAGTATGTCGATTCTTCAGGCTAACTAGGATAACCTTTCAGGTCATCCTAGAGCAATTGAAAGGGCAAGGTGTCTTAGCAAAGCTTCGAATGTCGCCATCCATGACCAGTGCGTTGTCCAAGTCGAGAAAACATCAACGCCCTTTCAATCCCTTCAGCAACGGGTTTCAAAGCGCATGACGGTAGCTGGTGCCTCAACGAAGGGTGGTGAGGTAGAAATTACAAGAATATTTTCTTTCAAGTGCTGTCCCACTCATTAAGAGGCTTAACCCAACCCAGGATCTCTCTGCCCTTTGTCAGCTTTCCAAGCTCACCCGTAATTGACTACAGCTACACCAGGAGCAGCCCTAACGCTTCACGACCTCCACACATCCAGAATAGTTCTGTTGGTCAAAGCCCGGTGGCCTTGCACCACAATATCCGCACAATGACCTGCCGTTTTGGTTGTGTTACGCGTTCTTCTCGTCCCGTTTTCAAATGGACCACAGAATCCGCTTTAGTGGCCCATGCAAGCCTCTCATTTGTTTCAGTTTTCCCGAAGAGGGTGCAAATGACATGGACGAAGAAGCTCATAATAGCTTTACGTTAACAACGGTCTCTACCGTACTCAAGCCCAGCACTTGCTGTTTAAATACTAACTAACCTGGCTAAACGATACAAGGACATCACTCCGAAGTTCCATCTTCACTGTACAGGGCCCTGAAACTGCGACCCCATAAACGAGGTTTCACGGGACCCCAACAGGGCAAAGAACAGTCAGATGCAAAGAGCGCTTCCATGCCATACGATCGTTTTCTATACAGTCCAACTACTTGCTTTAGAGCGGACATCCGCCGGCGGCCATAATTTTACCGCCAAGTCCTCATATTCCTCCATTCGAAACGCGGTTCTCCAGAACCTCTTCGTTATTCCGTTGTTCAATCACGACCGCCTGGAAGTCACGTAATGCACCCCCGGTTTTTCACCCTCACATCGCCTCATGAACTACTATGGGCAAACCGCCAGGTGAACAATCGCTGGTCGCTGGTATAATATATATATTATTCACGCTTGTTTCTTCATCATATTTGCCGAACTGAATGATCCCATGGCACTCACTTTCTGCAACTTGGATCAACCAGCCAAATAACCGCGTGTGTTAGACGTGAATGACTTCAAATTTATCCCTCGTGGCAATGATTGAACCCCTTTTGACCCTCCCCAAGACAAATAAGTGTTTCCACAAAAGTCTGTGTCCATTTTAACAACAACACCTCTATTTTACGTTCTCCATTAAGACTGCAAGAAAATGGTTGAATAGTAAAGTATATCTATCACCCCCTAATGGTACGACAATAGATCGTATGTCTCTGGGACATGGCCCTAGGGGCCTTCTGTTCCAGAATGGTGCTATCTTGGTGAGTGTCCCTCGCTCATGGTCCCAACGATTTCTAACGAAAGCCACACACGAGGTCAAAGTCATTGATCATGAAAAGACCTAACAGCATCATATAGGGACGCTTTGTTAACCTTCGAAACCCAGTGGGCCCACACAGAGACCTGTCCGTGCGACAGTCTCCCACGAACTTTGGTCAGTGTTTTGAGGTCCAAATGGCCCGATGACACTAAGTTGATAGTCGGAACATTTATGGTAGCCATTTCAATCAAATTGTAACGCACTTGCATTTCCCGCCAAATACCGTTTCCCTGCCACAGGCTTTGGTCGAGACCCTTATTCATCTCCCCATCCAGGTCTGAGAGCGTCTGTAATATCCCAGCAAACGTAAATCATGAATTGCACCCCTACCACTAATTTCATTCTGCATCAGCCGTTGGGTAGTGTCATCGGCCGGGTCGGCTTATTCGGTGTATAAAACAGGGCGGGTAAGCGAAAACAGGCCAACACTGACACGTTCTATCTTTCCCCCTCACATACTTCTCCCACCATCATACAATTAGCTCCCTTCTCGTAGGCTTATTTTTCGCGGCCGAAAACCCCTTTGTCTTGCGTCCGTTGTGGCAGCATGTGCATGTCAACCCGCAGTGACAACCTCAGGCTTCAACCTCAAACTTCAAGCTCCGACGCACAGTCCATCTGGCCGCTCCTATTGTTCGCATTCTGAAGCAAGTGGGAAAACAATATGCTCTTGATCTCACGGTGAGATCGCTTGATTTTGATGCTCGGTGTGTACCCGAAACATGAAATCAAGACCCACGACCAGTGGTGGGGCCAATCGCCTTATGTAATTCCACCAAATTCCAAGTGCTCACATCTGGCGATTCAGAAGCGGGTAGGTAGGATGTGTAGAAATCTGTGTCACATTAAGGCATAGGGCAAAATGATTTTTATTTCATTGCCTACTAGCTGATTTTCTCCCCTATGGGGAGCATCTAGTAGCATCTGTTAAGGAATCTCAAAAAATCGAAATTGTGGGCAGTGTATTTGCCCCTCTTGCTGCCCTGACAGCATAAAAGACAACTTGACTGCAGTTGTGAATGCCCTGTGGCGGGCAGCTATAATCCCTGGTGTCCTGGTGGCCGCGAGAGATCTGAACACACAAGTAAGACAGTCTAGACCATTTGAGACTCGGTTAGGTTATTATCTTGGAGTGGACTCGGTACGTGTAGAAAAGGGTGGAAGAGTACTTCAGACATGTGCTAACGAAAGGCCGTTTCTACGCAGTACGAACTCTCGAAGTAACCGAAGTCGCCTGGCCAAGTTCCGTCCTCCAACAGCGTGCCAAATACGAACTTAAACTGATCTAATCTAATCAGGTATCGATGGTGCGGAGAAACACACGTGCGGACTCCGAACGCACGTTCATTCAGAATCTTTTCTCACTTCGCTTCCATGGGCTGCGTACCGTAATGTCAAATTGTTTGTCAGGTAAAGTACTGGAGGCTTAGAAGTCAGACGGGTTTGTCAGAACCGTCTTATGAAGTCTCTAGAAACTGCACCACCACCAGACGTGAAATAATCCTGGAAAGATATCGCCATATCTCTGCACTGTGGAGCGGCGCCACCAGTTTACTCGAGAACTGGATGCCAAACGGAAGAGGCAGTGCTTGAATTTCGCAAAAGTGCCGTTGTCGGTCCCAGAATACCCCCCAGTCTGGAATGCCTAAAGATCATTCCAGTTGAGCTGTGCAACCGGCCACCGGGAATTGCTTGTGGGATAAAACATAGTAGATTAGTACGTTGTGAACATCTTGGTTAAAGAAGGACGTTTCGACCTGGTGGACGAATACTTCGGACAGCAATTCTCTTTTTCATGCAACGGACAATGTAGACCCTGGACGGTGAATATGGAATCTCCAGCGACCTTCGAGGTATATGACTGCATATGCTCGCTCCTGCACCACCGGGATGCTGAACCAGACGAACTCTTACACACACTGTTCAAAGTTGAGCTGAAGTTCACGGTCGGCGCCAGCTTGAACTGTGTGCCTGCATGTTGGGATAGGAGGGCGCTCAGTATTCGCACAATGGAATTGAAATTTCGAGAGTAATGGCGCTCCCCTGATGGAACAAAGCGATCGGGTCTTGAGTTAAGAGTACCATTTCAAACTTTTAAGTCCAATTCAGCCATCCCGGGGTCTCAGTAGTGCTTTAATTATTCCACGAGGCCTTTCACACAGAGACATGGTTGCCTCCGTGAACAACGTCATTTGGTGAGCTGCAGAAATATGAAGGTAGAGTGGGGCCGCTTTTGGTTTGAGTACATAGGCGACAAAAAGAAACATTCTTCTTTAGAAAGTTTTACTCCACTTGTAAAGGGTTTGCAGCTGAGAGCATTGTGCAGATAATGGGCACCATTCGTCAGACTGTCGCTCTGACAATCCACACCAGGCTACGTAACGGTTACGTCTGTGCTGAACGTACCCAATAAGAAAACAGTTGTGGGTAATCGGGGTGCGCACCCAAAGTTCCTGAAAGTGATTATACTCTGTTTCAGTGGTAACCTAGTCCAAACTTATTCAGTTTTCGATAGTGGTTCGGCGGCATCGTTCCACGCCAAGCATCACATTGACAGTCGAAACCTGTAGGAAAGTAATCCACTCAAGGTAAGTGCACGCACATTCATACGGTAGCACTTTTCTTTTTGTGAGCTGTCGGCTCGTAGAACCGCTTGCCCAAGAGTGTTCTCACAGCTATTTTTGTAAGACAATTAGAGGTTCTCTGTAGTACATATAACTGTGATTCTACCGGGCATCAATACTTTCTTTATGCTACAAAAACTGACAGGCATTTCGACACCTCACTTTTATTACTTAAATTTCGGATGAAGCATAGAAAAGCTGACAATAGACAACCACTGATCTCCTAGACCCGAAAGTTTTGGACCATTGCCCTGAATCCGTCTATCGTACACTGAACTCAGCTGGGTCAGCCTCAGTTTAAATTTATACAGTACGTGTAATTATAAGCTAGACATGCGGTGTGACCGACCCGCATACCGCAAACGTGACCACTGTGACACACAGGCGTTCACAAAAAATGTCAATAGCTAATTTCCCAAATGCCACTTTTAAGACACGTAATCTCAAAATCCCCAGGAAGCTGGTAGCCAACAACCGCCGGCCAAAGATTTCCCAATGTACTTGCACGTTTCTTGTCATCCTACAAACCAGGGTTAAGCACACTTAGTTGAACATGAAGCACGAGCCAATATTCGTTCAGAAGATGCAGAAGAATATCAAAACCAAGGGAAGTTTCGGGTAAAATTCAGCTGAGTTCCCTGTCAACACAAAGTTCATTTGCATCTAGTAGTCCACCGCTTTTTGAAAAATCACAAGCATTAGGTTTCGTGATTAGAGGGAACGATCAAGTGCACGCAGGATCCAGTAAGCAGCACGACAGGTGCAGTATTTGTTGTAGGATCTCCTCCCGAACGGTGCCCCAAAAATCGGTGCGGACATATCATTCTTAAAGGTTAGATAGAGACCGCTTGAAGACATACAAATTCGCGTGAACAGTCGGTATCTCCACCTGTTTGTATACTTCCCTAAAACACTTTATTCGACATGCTTTTGCATCTGAATGATGCATGTGAGCAACTACTTCACAGCTACGTGAAAAAACATGGTCCAGTTCTACGAACCTGCAGACTTCCAGTTGTACATACACTTGTTGAAATTCAGGACCTACCTATTTTGGATAGAATTTAAACCATCTACTGCGGTGTAACAAAAATCACTGCAGACAACACTAAATAACAGGAGGGAATTCCGCCAACTGGCTTCTCTATGATTCGTCATAAGCTGGTGCCAAACAGATATTTAGTACTTGTAAACTGCTCTTTTTCATGCTCAGTATCATCTTCTTTTTACCCGTCATTATCAGTCACATCGCTGTACAAAAGTTTGTTTTACTGAAATACAACCGCTACCGCCCGCTTGTTGGCTCCAACGTGACTTTGAGATTTTGGCTGAGTGACTGTTGTTGTGACCGCCAGTTGGCTCTAATTGACTGCTACTAACACTAAACGTGAACAAACATTTCAGCTACAAACACTGGACTAGTATATTCACACTTGTGGATTAATATTTCAATCACCGGAGATCTGGAATACCAGGAAGATAGAACTATTCTTGGTGTAGTGGTTCAACGGAATACGGAACTACGGAATCTCCTATTTTGAACTGTGAGTCAAGATTTACTTGGATTTTTCTCCTTGTGACTTTGTATCTGGCTTACATTAGTAATTTGTTCTGTTCACTAGAGACTCCATAGGGCCGTTAACCACTACAGATCTATCCTACATAGGCTGAGCGAGTGAACTAGACTGTCGACTCAGTTATCAACTCTGAAATGAGTAAGAACCAAACGAGTAGAGATACTTGTGCTAATGACCACAGACTGCGATCACATTTACTGAGTTAAATAAGATACCGACGCCAATACAACTCACTTCAGTCGCTCGTTTTTCCGTTTCCTCCAGCTTTTGGTTAGTTTCGGCTGACAGTGTTTGGGCGCTCTCTTTGTCAGTCTCCAACTGTTGGATTCTCTTCTGAACTTCTGCAATCTCTTCATCCTTAGTTTGCATTTCCAACTCCTTCTCGCGTAATTTGGCCTCAAGTTGGTCAGCCCTGTTTAAAAGGAAGGATTTTGCATAGATGCATTATTATTAGGTAAGGTAGATGAGATGGCGAGAGCCTTAGCGGTGCGAAATGAAACACCCGGTAGTAACACGATGTGCTGCCACGTGCTCTGACTGCCCAAGCCGAGATTGTCAGTAATTTGCTTATGTAATGCCACGCTGACAACCAGTGTCAGCATGGTGGTGAACCAGATCTCCGGTTTAAATCTGGATTTATTGTATTCAAAATATCCACGGGGGCACTCACACACATTCTGAGGAGAAGTTTTCAGCAACCTTATGAGTAGTCCATTACGAAAATGTATATGTATCGCGACATCTCGAATATCGTAGCGACTCAAACATGAGGCGGCCTGGTACAGCACATTCAGTTGCCGGGAGACATCTAAACCGAGAGATTCAGCTGGGTTCCAGGTGAGTCTCTCGAAAAACCAAATTAGTTTTCAAATGAGTGTATTTCGCTGACATTCTGAGGTTGTTTTTTTTCACTCGCTCAAGATAAAAAAGTAACATTTCAAAGCCTGGAACGAACTCAGTTGCCAGACGTTTTGGTTAAATGGCGATTGGTAGTCTCTCAATGGGACAATTCCCTTTCAAGCGGTGCCAGGATGAATCCTTGCAAAGGAAATGGGCAAACGAGCAATTTGGTTGTATTGGCATCTTTCACGCGGTTTTTTGAGTATGAGACAGATTTTCTAACTTGGCTGATTTTAATGTCCTGGCTGAACATCGCCACTGTATATCTGAGACAAACAAGTGCGACGTAACGAATGTATCAGCCTGTTACGCACATCACTACAAATGCTATCTATTTGGACAAAATCAAATAAGAATGAGATGAAATACACTCCCACCACTCCATAACCAGACAAATTAATGAAAGCAAGCTCCACGTTGTCCTGATCTCAAGGTCCAAAAACCTGTGATTCATATTGAAACTGTGTGCCAAATTACTTGCCAAAGTGGACCAAGTTCGATCATGAAATGTTTACTGATATGGTGACCAACGTTTTAACGCGATAGTCGACTAATTTATGTCTGTATTATACAGATGAAGGCATTAGGATCTCTATTGCGACGTTTCTTGGTGAACAGTGGAGGGGTCAGTAACGGAAACAAAGAATTTTCTTGTTGATACTGGGGTTGGTGTTTGCTTGGAGGGAGACTGAAGGTGGAAAATTCTGCATCTCTAAAGTTTTCTCCTAACTTGCGGGGTTGTGTGCAAAGATAGGTTCTGTACGGGTACCGTTAAAAGCTCTGACGTCTGGGTATCACTGGTTGGTTGTCCTGTCCTATGGCCTTTCACCGGTTGTTCCACCATTGTTCTGATCAATGACTGGGCTTGTTATTCATAAGTACAAGACTTCATAAGTACACAACATGTCTTTTGTATCCGGAATATGCGTCTGGAATAAGTGCTTACGGAATGACAAGACTTGTAAAGCGTTCGGTTCTATATTTCCCGACATTCCCAAAGCGCTATCATGTTCTGTCTGGAACCGACAGAATAAAACGGTTGTGGATCACCATGAACTGCAGACTTCGGTCCACCTAAGGCAACCCATGCATATAAGATAAAACTACCAAAAACAATGGCAATCTAACCGTCCTAGATCACGTTACCGGCAAGGAATATTTTCTGGGTTCGTGTATACGATGTAGGCACCAAACATCTGCAAACATCTCAAAGGTTCCGGAACGCCTAAGTTATTCAGTGGGTCTATTTGCTATCCCGGTTGTCCTGAATATTCTTGGTATAACAATTCCTAATAAGTAAACACAACTTTATCGATTTATCAAACCTTCTCACAATCCTAGAGTCATCTCAAAACCTTTTACAGTAAATTGGTGTATGTGGATATCCACGGACCTGAGGGTACCTGCATTCGGAAGCATTTGAGTTCATTAAAGGGTGGCTTAATTGTTTATTCCTAATGATCCACTTTATTTCTGTTTATCTTTTGCTATTCAGAGTTGCTTTGGCGTTCCATCAGTGATTTGGAAGCAAACTAAAGTCAAGCCAATGCAACACCTGGATAGATGTTATCCACGACGGAAGGTCTCCAGGCAGTAAGGCTAGCTATATGATTTGAGAGCGTTTTACGTGAGTTAATGAGCTGGTTGTATACTCCATTGTTCTCCACCATATGAATGGCGCAAACTATCCTATACGCACCAGAATGAAAGTGTTTGCACGATAACACTGTCACCACAACTGGCCAGATGGAACATATCAAGGGCTTCAAGCGGATTATGTGGACCCAATGACGTGTTTTCCTGACAATTACTGCCTAGTCAATGTGGATCAAAATACATCCAGTTGATCAAGCCAGCACTAAGACTTCGGTAAATGAAACTTCATGTGTTAGTACAGTTCGGTATGTCGGGAATTTTCGTACAGGCAACGGAAGCCCGTTTGTAAATGAAGGATCCCAGATGTTTACACAAAAACTAGGTCAGCTTCATGTCGTGAAACAACCATGGGAGACAAAATACACAACCGGTGAAACAGTGCTGTTAAATAGAGTACCGGAAGTCCACTGACCAAACAAGACTGGTTCGTGCTTTCCTGCCGCACGGCCAGCGTAGAGTCTGCTTTCACATCACCTGTAAAACTCTCATTTGTGCAAGAGCTGCCCACATTATTGCAAATTCATTCTCCTGCTCCCGCTGTCCGATTGGAATTACGACTGGAACAGCTGCATTCGCTATACAAAAGTACCATACTTGGAGCGCTTCAGACTATCTCACACTACTTCACAGGACCGTTTAGTGTCTAGCTACTTTGACCAGTTCTTCTGGAAATGGCGTTGATTCACAGTTATCTGATGGTCGGAATTCGCGTCCACAGAAAACCAAAAAGAGTAGCTACAACAGACTTCTAAGGCAGGAAAAATAGAGAAGAACCACCTAAATGACGAATCAAGCTGAATCTCTCGTTTATCGTTGGTGTACAGATGGGAGTTTTTGACGAATTTTGTCCAACTCGGATTCCAGTAAACTGTAAGGTTGACGGAAACTCGGGGACTACATATACTTGACGATCCCCAAGAAGGACGGGACCGGTCTTGGGTTGTAGAAGAGGTTTCAGCAAGCTTATGAGGCACGTCTACGCAAGAACCATCTACGTTCACCTCACACGTCAACGAAGTGTACGCTATCAAACGCAATACACTGAGACTGCAACGCATCACATCACATCAAACCGATTGATCTTTATGAGGTAGACAATGGAGTGCGTATACACTCTCATCTTTCTCCTTGGCGGTCGCTTGCTTGTCAAATTTTTCTTATCAGTGTCCTCCTCACCGTTCTTATCAATATATATGTGCACTACTTCGAGTGTCCTCCCTCCAGTTCGTTCACAATCTTTCACGTCTGAATAGGTAAGTGCACTACAGTACCCTCGGTAAACTTAAGAAGTGACCAGGCCTAGTCTTATTAAGTAGCAGAGATGTCCAAACACAGAAATATTGGAACAATGCCATAATCGAATGCATTGCATCGAGTGATGACAATGACATAGTTCGTAAGTCCGTAACCGCACAACTGCTGATGTTTACAAGTATCTAGGAAACCTGGTGATTGTTAAGCCAAACGGGCACCCCAATTTTTGTAGCAATCCGGTTGATTAAAAAAATGATGATGAGATCACAGAACAAAGACGGGTTATCGAAGCTACCGATAAAACCGTAGAATAACTACTGACGAGGAGGCTGTCAGCCGAGAGCGCTGTTGATGCTCTTAGTACTGCGGTGACCGCCCTACTTAAGCTTTAAAAGTCATGAGGGTAATAAAAATTTCGACTGAAAACTCACTGTTTTGCTGTATGATGCATTTAACCATGAACGGGGAAATTGAACTAGACTACCATCATCCGCTGTGGCTAATGAGCACCATCAGCAAGTTAGTCAGTTTAAAGTCTACCCCCCCAAAAAAAGCAGTTGGACAATGCGCATAAACTCGCTATATCCATCCTATAATCAGATATAGTAAAAACGCAGATATGTACGGGTTCAATACGGCCCCTATCTATTCCCTTCTACTCGGTCATACTGACAACATTTCTACTTGTTTCGCTTTGAAGTGGGCATGAAAAACAGTACTCTTCTCGACAAACGATGATGAGAAGTGCGCAACACATTGCCTAACCAAAACGACTCCTGGTATTGGATAAAGGTTTTGATGGGTTGTCTCATTTTGGTTTCTCTTAGTGGCCACATCGCACTGTTACGCAACAAATCAACCCGTAAAGTGCCTGATGAACATGTTTCTTGAGATGCAGGGCTAGACCGCTTTGGCACCATAGATTTTTTAAATTAGCAAACACAACCCAAGCCTTTTGGATTCGTGCGTCGACCTTACCCGCCGCACTACAACTGAAGCTAATACGACTCACAACATACGTAGAATGCTTCAGAACTTTGGTTTCTTTTCCGTGGTACGTTTTTTGATGACTGAATATCCAGAAGCATGACCTTATTTTTTATGGGTCTGAATTGCATGCCAAGGGGTTCCGACCGAAGACATTAGTAATTCATGACTACCAGGGAAAACAGTACCAAAAAGCTGTCCAACGTTTGCAGTTTCCTTTCTTCTGTCATGCGTCAGCACGTGATGGATGGTTAGTCTAAGCAAGAAATGAGGCTCAAACAGAATGGATCTTTCACAGACTGTCCTGTGCTTTAACACCCGCAGTGAGTCACAAAAGTTTGTACCAATCAGCCGATAGCATGGGTCCAGCGTTTAGAACATTTGCTAGCTAAAAACAGAACTGTAAAGCATTGTAGGTGATTTTTTTACTAAACTGCCCCCTTGTTTAGTTATTTTAGAGTTGCGTCTAATCATTGTTGTCTGCTGTTGAACAAAATCAGTAACATTCACTTGAAGTTGTCTCGCAGCAACCGGTTTCTGATCCACAAGACCTCACAAACACAATACTGTTAGGACAAAATTGCCCGTCCCTCCTCCCGCCAGATTTCGCTTTTGCCGCTGGATTTGCACTGTAATTGAACTGATATGTCCGGCATTGTTTCAGTGACTAAAAATCAATATTCTTTTCACTAGAGCTACAATTACGGTCTGCATGCAAATCTATTCGACAAAACGTTATTTGATGGACTCAGAAGGCTTTCTAACATGTCGAACGAAACGGTACCACGGTCATCAGTTCTTAGACAGGTTTTTATAAACGATACTGAGAGCGAAACGCGAGTCCAGTACGCCAGGAGAGGAGAACGGCTGCTCAGACGAGAAGGACATGAGAGTGAGTAGGTTTTGTCAACACATGTATGCAGAACAGCCTCAGAATTAAGCTTCCCGGAAAAGAGCAATTAGTCGGTTACAACCCTTCCTAGTTTAGAAATGGACTACAATTTTTCGGCCTCACAAGTGTAATCTGGAAAACCATCGATTCTGACTTCAGTTCCTGTAAATTTCCTCCTCTATTCTCTTGCCGTACCAAGGTCGTACCAAGGACTGTTCAAAATGCATTTTTGAGTATAACTGAACCACCTTTTTTCTGTTCATCATTCCATGTGACAGACGTTTTTCTGGCTTGGCTTTGTGTTTCACGTGCAATCAAGTTGAATAATGACGTCTGTATCTTCAGAAATGAAGTCCCCTGATATTGCCGGGTTCCTATTTGAAGAGACTGGTCACAGAGTCGTTCATCAATGTTTTCAAGCGTGTAAACAAATAAGTAGATAGATTCAGTCTCACATCACTCTCGTTTTGAACAGTCGTTGGTGTGGATTCAAATGAATAATTGCGCCAGGACAGGAGGACGACTGTTCAAAACGAGAGTGATGTGAGACTGAACAATACACCTCCCGCAAAAACCACCACATGCAAGTAGATAGATTCATTGATTGACTAGTTAAATGATCGACTTGATTAGTTAGTTGGCTGGTTGGTTGATTGATTAATTGATTGACTGAGTGGCTGACTGGCTTATCGATGATTTCCCATACACTGGTATGCAAAAATGTCTAATGACACAAAAAACTAGAGCATAATTCATCGATGTGTGGTACTTATCATCGAGAATATTTTAAGTCTGATGCTAGAGCATTCACGCCGAAATCTGTGCACATCTCACGCTCTGGGTCTGTCGATAAGAAGAGTGGAGTGACTTTTTTTACTGTAACCTAAAGCCTCAGGATTTCTCTATTTACAAAGTAAGATTCAATCATCAGTCTATTAAACAACTACCCTGATTGATGCGTGTTGAAAATGTGGAGAGTACTGGGATGCGCAGTGCTCCCACTAATATTATTTCGCAAAGTACATAGGGGCTAGACGGTCCAAACACAAGCGATGGCTCGTTTTCCATGCCTGACCTATAAAAATATTGGTGTGCTGTAGTCTTAAATGAAATCCATCACACTATCGTGTCCAGGTTATTGGGCATCCTGCTTTTCAAGACCCCTTCCAAGACATCCAAGGTTAGCAACCGTCTTGGAAGCTCGCAGCCCAAATCGCTGAATTCAACTCATTTACTGATGCATGTAAAGCAGAGCTACATTCTCTCGTGGCATGAAAGACCAGTAGCAACTAGCAGGAATTCCACACAAAATACAAGACTTCCCACTTACTCATCGATTGCATTTTCCTTATCCAACTTCATTGCCAGCATCTTTTTCTTGATATGCTCCATAGTAGGTGAAGAAATATGAAGGTTTCCCGAAACGTCGGACTTCTCTAAAAGCCAAACCGTGTACACATATTTGGGTATTACACCGTACGTCCTTATAGCTTGCGCCAGGTGAATTGTGGCCGGCAATCAGCTGATCGATCTGTCTGGTCGACCAATCAGTTTCGTGTCCCGAATAAGACGATGCTGTGCCGGCGATACATAACGATTCCGTGGGGACACCCACCTCCACGTATGTTACTACAGTTCATCATTGCCCAGCCAGCAACACAGCCTAGTGCCTCCAGATGCAATAACATGCACAAACACATTCTTGTGTGTTAAATATCTAGAGGGAGGGAGTTGGGGAAGGCGTGAATGGGGCAAATACAAACCCCGATCATCCATGCTGACGTCTGTGGGTGTTTGGTTTTGTGTACAAGCGAAGTAGACGGTGGAGAATGATAAAAAAACAAGGTCATTGTTTTCTTGGACAGCGATGACAGCCAGTTATGTTTGTAATCGTCTGATTTCTCGCAACATTGTGGGCTGTGGATGTGCACAGGTGGGCACTGATGTGGGGCGAGTAGAAATCGGATGTAAAATTCTAAACAGAGATTCATTTATGAAGCCCAAAGGGATACAAATGACAATAGATGTGAGGGTATCCTGTGCTTCGTGACTGTGGGTGTATCTTAGAGAATGTTTGGCCGGTTAAAGTCCAACTACTAAAAGTCGAAGGGGAAAGGTCGGGTTCAGAAGCAAAACGGGTGGTTTAATGTGCACAGAAGTCCTGCGTTTCTGCGGCACCATTCTCTTCCAGATGTACTCAACTAAGCCATCCCATATGACCATACCGGATGAGAGCGACCGAAATGGTATAGTGTGAATTTCTAGATAAGACTCATTTTATGAAAACTTTCCATGATTCAAGATGAGTCACGATCGGATCCGACGCAAACCATTTGTTTTCAGTCTAGTCTTATGATAAGCACACCATGTGAGACGAAACGTTCACAAGTATAATGCCACTCCCGGTCAACATACTAACAGCCACCTTATCTACAGCGCCCCTCAGCTACCAATACATTCATACACTGCAAGCTGCATACAATACATAACCCCCTGTATGAATAGACCTGCTAGGTGGTTAACGGAATACTCATACAACGGACATTCTATCCCGGAAGAAGTTAATAAAATGAACCACCTCAAAGCCCCTTAAATTCTTTCTACCAAAAACTCAGCTTTACTTTGGTGTTTCAACGCATTTTGCAGGCTTTGATGACTTTCCAACTTTGGATAGAATGGTCGTGGTTTACTAGTCTTCTATATCTATTCCGCGAAAAATCTCACGGCTACCCGTGATTTTGATGATAACTTCACTTTTCTGTCAGCGGGTTAAGTGCCCCAGTGTGAATGAATCCCGAAATTTTTTCAAGAATGGTGCATGCATTAAGTGGTATGGTATGCACACCAATCGAAAAGTACCCATCTAGAATAATCAGATTAGCAGAACTAAAAGGCCACCAGTGCGGTGATGCGTACATCAAGACACTGGAACACTGAACACGGACGGTCGTTGCGTAACTGGCTGAGAGGGTGGAACAGCCAAGCAGAACAATCCACTGGTTCCTGCTCTCCACGTTAGCCTCGGTTTCACCACATGAAAGCTTTAGTATCGTCAACTCGTAGTCCTGCTCCCAGAGGATAGTAGAGCATACTAACCCAGTGAGTGTACACCTATACAGACTTCTATAAACCCGGAAGTAACCTGACAGATGCCTTCATCTTGCGGTAGTGAGGCACGTGTCACAATGTTGTCCACACACACCACTAGAGCAGTCTTAATCTGAAACGGTTTTGAGAAGAAAGTATCAGGTTGAATTGCACCATGGTGTGATCGTCCAGCGTTTCTGTCACGCCCGCTTCTGACCTGGCGTTCTCATACCCTTTGAAGAAGTATTATTCATGTAAATTCTCGGTTTCACTTATGATAGGATACATAAGCTGCCTACCGAAAATTACCAAACTAGTCACTAAAGGCCTACATTTTGTATTGCAGTGCATGATGATATGTGACGTATATGCATGTGCGTGACATGTATGTATGTATGTATGTATGTTTATTTATATGTATATGTGTGATGTATATGGCATGATGATATGGTGCATATGTATGGTGTATATGATAGAACAGCGTTCAGCTGTGGCACCCTTCCGGTGCCTAACTGCCATGCCACCCGAAGGAAGCACGAGGGCTGGGATACTGCCAAGTTGCCCAAGCCTAGACAGGGGAAGTCGAGAGGCGGAGGTCGGATTCGAACCACGGACCTTCCGGTCAGTAAATTCGCGATCTAACCACTTAGGCCATCTCGCCCATATATGATGGGTACATTTGTGGAAATGTATATGCATGCATATATGTGATACACATGCTGGCGCATCAAACCTGCTATTTTGTGTTGCCCGAGCCACTATGAATTAGATGGCGAAATGGTGCATCTCTCTGGTTTCTGGCTAATTTGACTGGAATGGACGTGGTTACTCCGGAACGACGCAAGGTGAAATAATGAAGGTGAAGCAAATAAAGTGAACAGACAGTGGCAGTACGTACACAACCCAAACCTCTGTCGGACTCCGTAATGTTAATAGAACCCGGGCTCGAACCCAGTCAATTAAACACAAAATAAGTGTTTCGATCCTACTGTCTGCAGCAGTGGTAAGTAAAAAACTCCAGCATTCATTAGTTCCCGTTATCCGAACCAATCTTTTGACTCTTAATAAGAACAAACTGATAGCAATGAAAGCAACCTCAACTCACCCTTACTGCACATGAAGGATCTGACTTGATCACATTGGATAAATTAAAAATAGATCGTCCGATTTCAGAAATTATCTTTTCCCTCCAAGCTAAACCCAACCACGTTAGCAAAAGCGAGACACTGAACGATACGACAGGTTTTGGGGACAGTTCAAATGAAATCACCCCATTGTTTATAGAGTGTTGGAAATATCCATGTTACGAGTAGGCGAACAAATGTCAAATACTCGTTTTCTTCTTTTTGGGTTTCAAGCCGGACTAAACCCGATGAAATAACCATTGGTAATGATGTTATGTTTTTCACCAAGGAGCTTCATTTTCAAGGTCAGTAAAGAAAATTCTGATAAAGTAGGGCTATTTTTCCTCATTGCACAGAATGCGTCAGAAATGTATGCCAAAATATTCTCTTCATTCGACGTTGAAATAATGAGCCAACAGTAATTGATCAAAAGGAACTCAGGTAGTCGGACGACTCGGTGGTCAGGTGTGAAGAATTTTGGCACCGCATGAAAACGGATCCACCTCTCTGAGAACTACACATGCATTCGTAACCTCAAATCGAAGATGTTTTTGCGATTTGTGGGAATCTGTTTGTGGTGCATTTATGCATCAGAAATCACTGCACACGGAATGGAGAGCGTGACACTTTGCGCAAAGGCCACGTGCATATTGTAGTCCGATGAAAGCCATCAATGATAGCTGGAAGACACACCACTGGTGAAGCCTAGTGAGTAATGCTGAGCAGATCAAATGCACCCAACAAATGGAAGACACACTACTGGTGAAGCCTAGTGAGTAACGCTGAGCAGATCAAATGCACCCAAATCGAATCTCCTATTATAGGTTGTGGGGTTGCCCCCCCCCCAAATACCCTCGTCGTTACTGAGTTAACCTGGAAAACTGTGCAGGAATTTGGGTACCCCCATCTACTGATGACACACCAGCAAACGCGCCGATCCGCTGAGGCACGTTGGGGTTACCAAACAACTAGCTCAGGTGCAGACACACTCGTATCACCTGATTTCGCAATTCCATCACCGATGACTGACCGCATGTGAGCGCATCATAATGTTATCATCAGCCTCTGAAAGACGGACGTGAGACGAGGTCCGACCGTGCGAAAACTGAACCGTGGAGAACAGGATGGAAGGCTGACGAACCAAGGAATCATCATTAGACAACTTTTATGGTTTTCGGAGCCCTAATGCCAGGGCTTACTTTGAAGTTAAAGCAACCTCAAGCAGCGCACTATCCGAACAATTAATCAAAATGAAATCTGGAATGTAGTCGTATTTCGTACAAAACCAAGAAGACAAAAATCCCAAACTCCAGGCAAGAAGAGGGTTGCAAACTTTTACCTGAAGCATACAACCCCCCGAAACATTTTGAGAGCTATAGTGTTGAGGGATCCTTGAGCCGAATTAGGAAAGTTCACATGGAAATGATGCGTTTTTCATCACAAATCTGCAAGAACAAGAGAAACATTGGCAGGAGCCCTGTTGTATGAGTTGTGCTCCGTAGTCGCTGACATACTGTGAAACGAACCGGTGGGGTAAGTCAGGTTGCAGTGTTTCTGGTACCCAGAGACTTGCAACTTTTAACGAAAGCTAGTCAGTTCTTGGGCAAGTTTCCTACAATCATGGGATGATGTCAGGCCTTTTACAACACTTACTGTACAAAAAACTAGGAACAGGTGAAGATTTCGTCACGCGAGGACAATAAGATCACGAATTGGGGGTAATAGAACATTACTGCACAGAACGTTCGGAAAGGCAAATAGTTGATGTGGTGTTTTCTGTGTATTCCTTTATTCCTCTCTTTATAAACAACCGACTATAAGGTACTTTCAAATTCACAATGTTATTGATATGTTCTCATGGGGAAGCAGAACGCTGGCGATAATCTTTGTGAGTTCCTTGATGTTCCTGCTCGCTGGCCAAGCAAGCACATAGTCTGCAGAATCTCACGACAATACTGGGCCTGATTTGACTTAGATGTCTTTATCGGTAAGTTAGCAGTGCCAAAGTTTACAACGGTTCATAAATTTGACATAAAAAGTCGTTGTCAAAAACAAGACTGTTGACCATAGAATAACCCCTCTCTGCCTCATTTTTCAGTCAGGCACATGAGTACTGTGGTTCTAAATGCCACAGGGCATGGTCACTGATAAAGAAGAACGACAAGATCTCAAAGACAAAACCCGAAAAGTGGGGATGATTGATTGAGTTATCACCGATAAAGGAGAAATTAGAAAAGACTGACCCTAAAACTCGCACACTCCAAACGCCCAAATGTTTACCGTGACCTTCGACAAATTATACAGCGCAGTCAAAGAAGAATTGATATTGCTATGAGTCCAATACGATTGCAAACACATCTATTGTACTCAGTGATTCAGTCTCTCCGTAGATGAGCAAAAGTGACTCCATACAGCCAAACATGTGAGTCTTGAATCACTCGTTCTTCTGAGGGAACCCCTTAAATCCTTTTGCTTGGGACCAAGATAGTTGAATCAAAGATTCAAAGTAAAATAACTTAAGTGAAACCCCTTCAACCACCCAGAAGGTGAAATTATCACATTTCCATAACTGCAATGGCCATTTTATATATATATATATATATATATATATATATATATATATATA